CCATTTGTATGATCTCTTTGGGATATAGCCCTAGAAGTCCTATTGCTGGGTCAAAGGGTATCCACATTTTTATAACCCTTTGGGCATAGTTCCAAATTGCTCTCCAGAATGGTTAGATCAGTTTACAACTCCACCACCAATGCATTAGTGTTCCAATTTTCCCACATCTTCTCCAGCATTTATCATTTTCCTATTTTGTCATGTTGGCTAATCTGATAGGTGTGATGTTTTACCTCAGAGTTGTTTTGATTTACATTTCTCTAATCAGTCGTGATTTAGAGCATTTTTTCATATGACTATAGATGGCTTTAATTTCTTTATCTGAGAACTGCCTATCCATATCCTTTGACCATTTATCAATTGGGGAAAGACTTGTATTCTTATAAGTTTGACTTAGTTCTCTATGTATTTTAGAAATGAGGCCCTTTTTCAGAGACACTGGTTGTAAAAATTCTTTCCCAGTTTTCTGCTTCCCTCCTAATCTTGGTTGCATTGGCTTTGTTTATGCAAAAACTTACAAACCACTTTTCACACAAATAAAGTCAGATCTAAATAATTGTCAAAACATCAGCTGACCATGGATAGGCCGAGCTAATATAATAAAAATGACAGTTCTGCATAAGTTAATTTACTTATTCAGTGCCATACCAAACTACCAAAAATTATTTTCTAGAGCTAGAAAAAAATAATAACAAGATTCATTTGGAAGATCAAAAGGCCCAGAATATCAAGGGAACTAACGAAAAGAAATGCTAGGGAAGGTGGCCTAGCCGTTCCAGATCTTAAATTGTATTATAAAGCAGCAGTCATCAAAACTAGTTGGTACTGGCTAAGAAAAAGAGTGGTGGATTGGTGGAATAGGTTAGGTATGCAAGACACAGTAGTCAATGACTACAGCAATCTACAGTTTGATAAACCCAAAGACCCCAGCTTCTGGGATAAGAACTCACTATTTGACAAAATCTGCTGGGAAAACTGGAAAAGAAGGGGCAGCTAGGTGGCGCAGGGGATAGAACTCTGGCCTTGGAGTCAGAAGGACCTAAGTTCAAATCCAGTCTCGGACACATGACGCTTAGCTGTGTGACCCTGGGCAAGTCACTCCCCAATTGCCTCACAAAAAAAAAAAAAGGAAAACTGGAAAGGAGTATGACAGAAACTAGGCATATACCAAAATCTTACACCATGTACCAAAATAAAGTCAAAATGGGTTCACTATTTAGATATAAAGGCTGATACTCTAAGCATACTGGGAGAACAAGGAATAGTGTACCTGTCAGATTTATGGAGAACAGAAGAATTTATGATCAAACAAGAGATAGAGAATGTTATGAAATGCAAAATGGATAATTTTGATTATATTAAATTGAAAAGTTTTTGTGCAAACCATGTCTAATTCAGTCCTATCCTTCTCTAGCCCTTATCCTCCTCTGTACCTTCCTTTTCATGTCTTCTAGAACCCTTCTTTATTGTTAACAACTCCATTTCATCTTGATTCTCTTCCTCTTCCTCTTTATAGAAGTCTATAAAATTTGTTGCACCACACTTCCGCTTGGAGACCCTCCCTCTCCTCCTTTCAATTTATTGTTGTAATTCAGTTGTTCATTCGTATCCAACTCTTCTTGACCCCATGGACCATAGCACAAATCTCACATGCATTGCTTCCATGTCTCTATCTTTTTTGTCCTCTGCCATCCTCTTCTCCTTTTGCCTTCAGTCTTTCTCAACATCAAGGTCTTTTCCAGGGAGTCTTGTCTTCTTGTTACGTGGCCAGAATATTTAAACTTTAGCTTCAGTATTTCTCCTTGCAGTGAATAATGTGAATTAATTTAAGTATTAACTGATTTGACTTCCTTGCTGTCAAAGGGACTCTCAAAAGTCTTCTCCAGTACCACAGTTTGAAAGCATTGATTCTGTGGCACTCAGCTTTCATTACAGTTCAATTCTCACAGCCATTGCTGCTGGAAAAACCATAGCTTTGACTGTTAGGAATTTTGTTGTTAAGATGATGTCTCTGCTTTTTAGTATGTTGTCCAGATTTGCCGTAACTTTCCTTCTGAGGAGCAAGTGTCTTTTAGTTTTGTGACTGGAATCTCAGTCTACAGTGGTCTTTGAGCTCAAGGATATAAAATCTGATGCTGCTTCCATTTCTTCTCCCTCTGTTTGCCAGGAAGTGATGGAATCAGGTACCAAGATCTTAGTTTTTTGCATGTTAAGTTTCAAGTTAGCTTTTATACTCTCCTTTTTCACCCTCATCAAGTAGCTTCTTAATTCTTCTTCACTTTCTTTCATCAGAGTGGTATCATCTGCATATCTGAGATTATTGATAGCTCCTGGCAGCCTTAATTCTGGCTTTTGATTCATCCAGCCTGGTGTTTTGTATGATGTACTTTGCATATAAGTTAAATAAATAAAGTGACAACATACAGCCTTGTCATACTCCTTTTCCAATCTTAAACTAATCAGTT